GCGATCATAGCAAGGCTATGAGGTTCAGATTCCCCTAGATCTCCGGCTAGTTTCTAATCCTAGTCAAACTAGGGTTTACCCGTTTTTTCTTCTAATCCGATTCTAAATTAATTTGTGTGTGGTCTTCTTTCCTTTTATGTTTGATTGACTATATTTCCTTATCTGTGCCGATTTTACCACTATATAAACCCCTCCCCCATTTTCCTTTGAGAGAGACTTTTTCACACAAAAAATTTCCATTAAAAAGTTAAAAGATCTTCACTTTGTTGTTCGTTTATTCTCTTGTTCTACTTTGGCTCTTGGCCGACTGAAAGCCAAGGCCACCGGAATTCCTATTTCTTTGGCCTTCCTTGGGTGTGAGCACTGCCCTGGGTTCTCGAAGCCCTTGGGAACTTGACGCATCTAAGATCCTGGGTTATACTGCTTTGTTGATGTTCAAAGTGATTATGTTCTTTTCTTGTTTGTCTACTTGTCAATCAATAACTAGTGAGTTCTTTAGCCTTTGCAATGTTCATTCTCTGATGTTCCTGATTAGCATATTCACGCCTCTAAAATTCCATAACCTAATGTGTTTCTAGACTATCTCTATATGTAACTCTGCTTATAATTGAACCTCTCTAGCATTTGCTCATGCCTAAATTGTTAGTTCTAAAAATGTATTTGTGTTTAACTTGGGCAATTTAGACTGTTTGAAGTTCGTTTAGCTTAATGTATTGGTACTTTGAGTGTTTACATTGGTTATATGACATCGGTTTGTTTCCCGCCTTGTCCTGGATTTCAATAGTGATTGGTTTGTATCTGTGATATGCCCCAATCCATGTTAAAACCCTCATTCTAGTTATGATTTGCTCATATGATCATTTTATCACTTAGTATGTCCTTTCCCTGCCCAACTTTGTACTCCCTAGCAACTAGTTGGAACCTTTTAGAATAGCTCCTTAACTTGTGTTCCTTATAACATTTTATTTTGTTTACCTTATTGGTGTGAGTTGCACTGTTCAACCTCTGGTGTTTAGTATAATTTGACCCTTAGGCTTAGACCTGTTAAGTTAATGTTCTGTTGTTTGTCTTATTTGGCATAATACCTTGTTTATTAATTTCGTAATCCCAGAAGCCATAATCCCCCTTGCTTTCTTACAAATGTTCTTTGCCTCAATGTGCTAAGTGTGGACTTATTATATTAGCCTGTCTCTTGAGTTTGCTTACCCTTTGTGTGGATATGTTCATTGTGTGATCACCTTTGCAATGCCTGTTTCTAAAAATCCAAATGCATTTCTTCAAACTATGCCATTTGACTACTATTTTCACTCTCATTGGTTATTTACCCTATTCTGAACCTATAATTCTTGGTCGGCTGAAAGCTAAAGCCACTAAAGCTTTCTCTATTAACCTCCCTAGTGTGAGCACTACTTGGGGTCCATCCCGAGGCCCTTGTGAACTCTAACACACTAAGGGGTTTGGCCTTAGTCATTCCTTTAACCCCCTAGCCATCCCTATTGCTCTACCCCCTATCATGTGATGTGTTTTATGCTGGTTGTCCCAGATGATGCAATACTTGGTGCTGTGGCTCATTGGAATGGGTCTGAACTCCCCTATGGACCTGTGGTCGTGTGGTGTGCTATACTGAAGGCCCATTAAGGCTGGATATTTAGTTGTTTTACTTGGGCCTGCTATAGGCCTATCTATTGCCATGTAATATTACTATTTTTGCTTATTCATTTGGGTCTGTAATAATACCTCTGTATAAACAATTGGGGTGCTAGTAAAAGGAGATGAGGTAAATTCTAATATTAACATGATGTGTAGATAACATGTCTATAGGATTGAATGATGCACTTTTCTACTACTCATTCTTTATGCACACTGTAGAAAGCATGCTATTAGGAAAAACACACACACTTGCACTACTTGTTTATTAGCAAAGCATGAGCTCAAATGCCTCAATATCTTTGTTGTCGTATGTTATTAAAGAACCTGGCCGTAGGAAATAAATATCTTGGAACTCCCCTCTAATTTGTATTATTGTAGTATATCCATTAGAGATCATGCCTATAGGACTCTAATTCCTTTATCTATCATTGCATCACATTATCCACCTAGAAAACCTGCCTACAAGGTTTAATAACAAAATCAGGTCCCAAATGTAATCGTTAGAAATCTTGTCTATAGGATGCCACTGTTTGCTTTAATAACTGGTAATGACACCCTTCATCGTTCACTTAGGACGTTATCAAAAGCATAAGTAATTCTGAGTCTCTACTCTCGTTATCGTAAATCACCTAGGCGCAATAACTGCAGGACTAATAACTGGCAATTTGCCTTCTCAATAATTAGTGAGTAACAATCTATGCAATCATATCTATGAATAATGCCGGTTCCTCAAACTGCTTGCATGTATGGATGCCTATCACGTAGAAATCATGTCTATAGGAAATTAAATTCCTTAATCTTGAATTGCCTAACCTGAAAATCTGTTTGCGCACACATTTGTTGTTTAATTGTGGAGGTTAATTTGAGCCTTTGACTGCATTCGTATGTGAAGTCCAATGTGTTTTTGTATGTCGCATAGTTTTGACATTTTTTGAGCAGCCTAAGTTAAGTCTAGAACCACCAAAAGTAGAGGTCCAATGTCTCATGGACCATAGGCATGTGACAGGTAGTACACGCATAAGGTACGATTTATAATTAACTAGTGCGCTTTAGGTAACAACTTGAAGATAGTAATCGGGTAGCAGAAGATGATAGTCTGTGCCCGCTGAATGATACGAGTAACACCCCATCTTCAGGGAGTTACGAAGTATTATTTATGTTGCACGGGGTGATCCTTTAGACTAAAAAAACTTAGGACCCCCATCTTATTCCAATTTATCTGTGAGTCAAGTGTTTGTATTTATTTAATGTCTGTTGATATTAGAACTTCCCAAACTTCTTGCTTTCTTTGTCTCTTTTTATCTGACTAATTCATATAGTTCAAGTTTGGCCGGGACCCACAGTTGTGGACCTCGAAGAGTGCCTAACACCTTCTCTTCGAGGTAATTTCAAGCCCATACCCGATCTTTGGTGATGCAAACTAATCAAACCCGAGTCACTTGCAAATAGGTGCCCTAACGCACCTTAAAAATCGTAGGTGGGCTTCTCTTTTAACCCTTCCTTTAAAAGAGTTGTCACACGTCGAAACCCGATTTCGCGAAAAAATGGGGCACGACAGGGATTATGTCGGAAGCCTTCACTCGGACAAACCGACCCATCCATCCTTGATCCTTGTCCTCGTCAATGCTCGAGAACAACACTTTGGTGGCCCGATGCTGAAGCCTTATTAACCCGCCTCGATAAAGACGGGGGTTGTACAATCTAATAAGATGGTCGAGGGTAAAAAGCATCCCTTCGACCTTGCTTACGAAGAATCGGAGCAAAATAATGATATGCCAGAAAGAAGGATGGATCTGGCCTAGGGTTATTCGGTACTAGCGGCAGAAGTCAAGGATAACCCGTTCGACGAGACCCAGCGTAAAAGGGTAAGTGTACATACTTAAGAACCCTTCTACTTAAGTAGTGATGTCCTCTTCAGGGGTCAGAATCACAACCTCTTTATTTTCCCAATGACAATCTTTTTTTCACCTGCTCAAGATCGCCCTTGGTTATCGAGCATATGTATCTCGACATTGGTTCACAACGGCCAGGGATCGACGAGGGTTATTCAACTTTAAAATTGTAAGTAAGGTCGCATGATCCGGGAACACACTCTTCGATGCGTGGCTCCACCAACGTTTTATCACTGGCCGATCGTGATAAAGAGGTTTTTCCTTTTGAGGAACGATTTTTGATATTTTCGCCATTGTTATATGAGTTCAAAGAAAGAAGAAGACGAAACTTTTTATTTTTAGAAAAGATTGTCAAACGGGATTTGAAGAAGCTGCAGAATTGATAAGCTTGAAGGGAGTAGAAGAGTTTTTGAAGATTAGGAGAAATTTTGAGAGTAAAGTTTGAGAAAATTATGAAGATGATCTATATATAATATCTGCTATAACGGTTTGAAAACACTAGTGGCAAACCATCAACTGGCACTAATTAATGATCTTGAGAACTGTGCAGACGTGACGGTTCAGTCGCCTCCGTCACTTACGTCACAAAGGTGACGTAATAATTGGTCGAGGCACAAAATCGAAGGCTCAATTCGTTTTTTTCCGGTACACTCCAAGAAACGAGGGGACTATCTGTATACGGTCAAAATAAGGTCTACTTGTTTTTGCTATTTGATCGAGACAAGGGAGTTGCATCAGGGGTAGCCTCGTAATGAATCAGACCCGAGTTCGAAGACGAGGCATCAAGTCTAAAGATCGAAGTGTTCGTTGAGACCAAGACCAGTAGTACTCGAGGTTAAGTGTGACCAACTTCGAGTGAAGTGCAATAACGAAAATGCGAGATATCCGTAACCGGTCGAAGATCACGGCGAAAATCTCGTAACAGATCAAATCAAGGGTTGTTATTTGTACCAATCATGAGATTTACTTCCGTAATTAGAATTGCACTGTAATTAGAATTCCTCTAGTATATAAAAGGAGTCCCCATCATTCGTAACCATCTTACATGCATACTGGTCAAGGCAATATAACATTTCTATCTCTAATTTATCATCTTGTTGTTCTTTATTTGTTTTTACTTTACTAAGCTCGAGGGCACCGTCCAATCATTGGTTTGTTTTACATTCTTGTCAATTCTCATTACTTATCTTTAAGTTAATCAATTAATATTTGGTGAAATCACGTATTCTACTTATCTTTAAGTTAATCAATTAATATTTGGTGAAATCACGTATTCTTAAAACTTATCCAGTTTTTAGTTTTTAGGTTAACTGAGTAGTGACCCAATGTTCTGGGACCCTTGGGCCTAAAAGTAGCTTTATTGGGCCAAGAAAAGCTTACACAGCACGCTCTGAGCTTCCCGTCTCCCTATACATAAAAGCATAAAAGCAGCAGATAATAGCCAAATATATAAACCCGCTCAAATTTGAATCTCATTTGCTAAATCCCCTAATTCCCCATTTCCCAAACACTGACACCATTACAAGGTGAATCCAAGAGCACTATTCAAATTCTCTACAGTAAACTCCATATCCATCCGATGAAGAGGAAAACCCTAAATCGAACAAGCACACCACGCAGAAACAACAAAAGCAACAGGAAAAGAATGAACAAGGGTTCACTCTTCACTGTTGGGTTTTCCAAAGTTTCCCTTCCTCCCCTCCCTAATCAACAACTGCTCCAATCCGCATTTTCAACTCTTCCTTTATCAAATCCTTCTCGATTCCAGAAACTTCTGGATTCTGAAGCACTTCCGCCAGCTCAATCTAATTTCCCTTCGATTTTGCCGTGGAATACTGACGCCGATGCTGCCGATGGGGATAACAAGGATTTCATTCTCAGCCAAGACTTCTTCTGGTTAGTAAATCTTCTCCCTTTAATTTCACATTGTATCCTCTAGCTCTTTTGTTTTTCTATTTTTAGTTAATTTTTGGGATGCAGTACTCCCGACTACCTAACACCAGATGCACCTGCAATTTGTAATGGGCTTAATGGTAATAAGGTAATTTCTTTACCAGAGTGTTCGAAATTGTGATTTTTTTTAAATTCTATATGCAAGCTATAATTTCAGTATGACATATTTTGCGTTTTTCCTTTCTTTTTTGTCAGGATGATTGTATGCCTTGTCCTAAATCACCTGAGAAGCTTCAAATTGTAGCAAGAAAGAGGCAGCGACTAGGTGTAACATATTCTCTTACTTTGTTGTCCATTCCTCTTCAATTTTCATCTGTGAAATCATTGCCAGCTCTGTCAAGTTGTTTTTTTTTTTTTTTTTTTTTTTTTTTTTTTTTTTTTTTTTTTTTTTGTCATGCACGTTCTCATCTTTCATTTTTTTAGTTATACTCTTGAGGCATGACGAATCAGTTTGAGTGAGATCAGTGGCGGAGCCAGGATTTTTATTAAGAGAGGTCAAAATATAAAGAAGTAAACTTACGAAGAAGCCAAAGGGTGTCAATATATAATGTATATCCATATAAAACTATTTTTTACCTTAGCTACACATTGTAATTTTTCGACGAAACAGTGTCAGTTGACACCCCTATACATGTAGCTCCGCCACTCAGTGAGATAAGGTGCTTGGAAATCAAACAGTGAGGCACAGATGAATTATGCCAGCGTATTGACATATCAATGATTACCTTATAGCCCTTTCTGATATTGAAGAAAATTAGAGCAGAATACAGTCTTTGAAAGTTTAAGATACCGTGTAATGTACAGTATGAATATCCTTTATGTGATCATAATATTTTATGACTTACGAGCAGCTAAAACGGAGCTAGGTAGGAATAAGGCGGTTCAATTGAATCCCTTATCGAAAAATTATACTATGCAAAGAAATTTGAGTTTTTTGGTTATATATAAACTGTTGAATCCCTTTGATATAAGGAAAATTCTAGCTCAATGGCACAGGGGGTTCAAATATTAGATTTTGAAAATTTCGATCATAGGTTCAATTACTTGGTCTAACATTGTAGTGTCTTTCTGAATCCCCTTGTATAAATTCCTGGCTCCGCCATCGTTGATACATGGAGCTTCTATTTTTAGCTTGTCTCCTTGTTACCGTTGGACACCGTTTGATTCGGGAAATCTATGTCTCTCTATTCCACTTTAGCATGTAAGGAATTTTGTCTTATGCACATTTATCTTTCATATTTAGTGATAAGATGGTAAATTTACTTTCTTACTGTCTCCTTTCATGATGTCCATCTTGACAGCTGTTAAATCGGTAACATCTCTTAGTTCCGATTTCCCTGGCCAGCAACAGCTAGCAGATATTCCGGAAGATACTTTTGGGACAGATGAAACGAAATCAGAAAAGATAACTGAGTCAGAAAAGGGTCACAGTTACGTGTCACAATCTGCTATTGCTTTAAGATATCGAGTCATGCCTCCTCCTTGCATTAGAAACCCCTATCTCAGGGATGCTTCAGAGATAGATGTTGATCCTTTTGGAAACCGGAGATCAAAGTGCGCAGGTACTGGTCATGAAGTTTGAATAATTGGTGAATTCCATTTTCCTTATAACAATTTAGTACTTCAAAAGTAAATTGAAGTGTGATCTCCTGTTCTTTGTGGCGCTGTCATTGTTTTGTTTTCTGTCAAATTCCTAATGGTATGTGATTTAATCTGTAGGTTTTAACCCTGTTATTTTTGGTAATGATGGTCTATCGCGGTACCGGAGTGATTTCCATGAAATTGAGGTATGTTTGGTGCTTGTATTCTAGACTCCGATCAACACATTCTGAAGTTTGTTTTATACCTATCTAAAATCCTTTATTCTTTCAGCAAATTGGTACCGGGAACTTCAGTCGTGTTTTCAAAGTCTTGAAGAGAATCGATGGATGTATGTATGCTGTGAAACACAGCACAAAACAGTTACATCAAGACACAGATAGGTGATATTTCCCTTCTTTGAACACTATGACCTGTATGATAATTGATATGGCATAAAAAAGTTCAGCATAGAGTTTTTTTTTTTTTTTTTTTTTTTTTTTTTTTTTGTTTTTTTGTTTTTGTTTTTGTGACAAATCTTACCTAAAAAAATCATTTCCTAAGGGGTCATCTGGTTGCTGGTTACACGTATTAGTAATATAGGAATTAGTTATGCAGGGGTTATTTATACATGGTTTAGTTATGCAGGGATTAGTTATGCAGGCTTTAGTTATGCAGGGTTTTGTTATGCATGGTTTAATTATGAAGGGATTAGTTATTTAAGGATTAGTATGCATGGATTAGTAATTTATGGATTGTAATGTAAAATTATTTTTTGTTAAATGTTTATTTTATTTAAATATACAATGTGTAATTCAAAATAAATATGAGGGTTTTTTGGTCATTTGATGTTTGATCCATGTATTACAGTATTAGTTATTCCGCATTCCACCTTGCATAAATTATACATAAATTTGTTATATAACTTATCCATGTATTACTTATACCCCTAATAGAAAAAAGTAACCAAACATAACATTAGTTTGCTGACTTGTATAAAGTAACTAAAAGCTACCAAACATGGTATTGATTATGTTACTGCTAATACATGAATAACTTATCCTGTAACTAGCTACCAAATGACAAGTTATTTCCTGATGTCCGGTTGGCCATTTAGTTGGTAGCATCTAGTAGTGGTGGAAATTGGGGGTGGAGCCAGGGTGGTGTTGCTTGGGGCTTGTTAGAAGTTCCAAGAATTGGAGATAATAAATACTTATTTGTCTATTGGAGCAAGATATATGGAGTAAGAATGGACTAGAATTTGTCCTATGCTCCTAATGTTTGTACCGTTTCTTACGTTTGGCATATAGTTTTTTCTCCAAGGTAAACATTTCCAATAGATTTGACCACAATTTTGTATTATGGCTTCACCAAGGAGAATATTTTATGTCATATCAAACAGGCTGTTTGTTCAATACAGTTCAGTCATATTTATGCATTTTGACTGTGTTCTTCCAGGAGAAAGGCTTTAATGGAAGTGCAAGCTTTGGCTGCTTTAGGTAGCATGCAAACCTACTTCTGTTGCTGATATTATCATTTAAATTACCCCAGAGATTATTCTTTAACATCTTTTCTTATGTATGCTTACAGGACCTCATGAGAACGTGGTTGGCTATTACTCTTCTTGGTTTGAAAATGAACATCTTTACATCCAAATGGAGCTCTGTGACCACAGCTTATCCAACAAAAAAGATTCTAAACTATTTTCGGAGGTAGAAGTTTTGGAAGCAATGTATCAGGTGTGGCTGTTATTTGAATCTTAAAGAGCTATTATTTTGTGGGATGTACCAAGTCTGCCCGTCTAAGTGTATGGGAAAAGGTAGAAGATATATATATATATCTTGCAAAAAATGATAATTTGTCTATACCAAAGAGATGATTTTGGACTATCTACATAACCAATGATCATATCGCCAAATATGAAATTTAACCTGCTAAAGTAATGTGATTTCCACCTGCTATTTCCTGTTACGCATTAAGGGAAGCAACTGTAGACTAGTATACTGAGCACCTAATCTACCATCCTAATACTTGCAACATGCTATATTTCGTAATGTTTTTTATGTGTTTCATGAAAATGCAATATCCAAATCTAGTTCCATTCTTGTTGTTTCTACTGGAAGGGTGTTACTTCAATAACTTAGTTCTCATTCAAGTGCATAATGTGGCCCAAAAATCCTGCTCCAAGTTGGTGCTTGTTTAATTTCACATGAGAAAAGAGGATCAGTCTATAGCAGTGTTTTGGAGAGCGAGAAGCGGAAAAAAGCGAGGAGGCACGAAGCGAAGCGCTTTTTTTTTTTCATGTGAAGCGCAATTTAACACATAAATAAAAAAAAATTAAATAGGCATAGATAAATGACCAAGAACTCAATAAAAATAACTTATTAAGCAAATGTTTCAATTCTTAAATCAAGAAGTAAATAATAGATACTAAAACTAGATAGTGAATCTATCTACAATCACCAACCAAAAAAACAAAACAAAACAAAAAACAGAACAGTTAAATTGTCGAACCAGAACAGTGAAAGAACAGAAAAACAGAGCATAAATTAGGGTACAAGAACAGAGCAATAAAAACTGAAAAAAATAGAAAGAAGAAGAGAAAAACAGGGCATAGAACAGAAGAACAGAGCATAAATAGGGCAGAAGAACAGAGCATAAATTAGGGCACAAGAACAGAGCAATAAAAACTGAAAAAAATAGAGAGAAGAAGAAGAAGAAGAAGAAGAAGAAGAGAGAAGAAGAAGAAGAAGAAGAGAAGAAGAAACTTACAGCTTGGTAGTCGTCGCTTGCAGCAGCAGAGTGTTTGCGTAAGTTTATTTGCGAACTGTGTATTTGCCAATTTTTTTTTAAAAAATCCTAGCAGATGCCTTACCCTCGCTTGAGCGCGCTTTTTTGCGCTTTTTCCATCGCCTCGCTTCTCGCTTATTAGGGTAAAGCGTGCGTTTTTTTATGTGAGTCGCTTCTTAGGGCAGAAAAGCGCAATGCCATCGCCTCGCATCGCTTCTGCGCTTTAAGCGAGAAGCGCACGCTTTTTATAACACTGGTCTATATGTTGTCACCAAAAAAAGAAAAAGGAAAAAAGAAAAGAAAAAGGAAAAAAAATAGGATCAGTCTTATATCTGGTGTAAGAGCTGATACCATCGATCATATATGGGGTCTAAATAGCTCCTATTTAGTTGGTAGAGAAGCTGTTTGTCTCATATATCCTAGGATTTGTTACTATCCTCTAGATTGAGACATGACTGGAACTGTATTACATTGTTGAGAGACAGAAGAAATGTATAGCAAAATCTTTTGTGCTTTTGGTCCTTGTCTGAGTTGCTGAGTTGGTCTTCTTTGAAATGCTTTGAATTCTCCAAGTGTCTACTGACCTCATTTTACTTTTGACTTTCCCTTGCTTGTGTTTTGTTCTTGTGTCTGTGTGTGTTTTATTTTAGTGATGGGGAGGCTGAGGGTAAATGTTTTTCAAATTGAGGTCAAAATCTTTATTTTTGAGATGTTTTCTTATATGCAGGTAGCCAAGGCATTGCAATATATACATCAGAGAGGGGTAGCTCATTTAGATGTAAAGCCAGATAATATTTATGTGAAAAGTGGTGTGTATAAGCTTGGTGATTTTGGATGTGCAACTCTTCTTGATAAGAGCCAGCCGATTGAAGAGGGTGATGCACGTTATATGCCCCAAGAAATACTTAATGAGAACTATGATCATCTTGACAAAGTTGATGTATTCTCCTTGGGCGCTGCAATATATGAACTTATTAGAGGGTCTCCGCTGCCAGAATCAGGGCCTCATTTTCTAAACCTCAGGGAGGGGAAATTGCCTCTTCTTCCGGGTCACTCCTTGCAATTTCAGAATCTGCTCAAGGTAATAAGTTGTTCCCTTTTACTATCTTAATAAATCTGTGGATAATATTTGCTTATATGCTTTCCTTTTCATATGACTTGATCATCTTTCATCATGTACAGCCAGCATGCTGTCTTGAAGGTATCAACAGTAATATGCACAATGTACCATATATTATCCAAGTATATTTCAAAATAATTAAGCACAATTAGTTAGATGATTTGTTTTATTGTCCGTGACTAAGTACCATAAAGCTAATCCATAATAATCTATAGAAGCAAATGCTGATTCTCTATGTTCAAATGTGAATGCTGCCAGGTGATGATGGACCCAGATCCAACACGCCGTCCTTATGCAAAAGACCTTGTGGATAATCCAATCTTTGAAAGATGTCAAAGAAATGCTAACAAGTAAATGGCCATGTAAATCACCTTTTTCTCGGATTTGTTGAGAGCTACTTTTGCCAAAGAGCCAGAATTCAAAGCTGCAGTTACTTGTGCAGCATCTCTGGTGGACCACTTCTGAAAACCATATATAGCTCATATTAAATGGAGATAAGGAGGGGGAAAAAACCATTCTTCCAAACGAGCTATATTCTCATGCACCAAATTTTCTCATTTTGATGGTGCTAATTTTGCCAAATATCGTACTATGCATCCAGAGAAAATGTTGTATCCTAATTGGACCAAAAACTGTGCTTTGTATGTCATAATGAAATTTGGCGCCGTTTAAGCTGATTAGTTCAGTATCAATTTGCTTGCCTCGTTGATCAGATAAAAGTGACATGGCAGCCACAAAAGTTTGTGTCCCAGATTTCTTCTTTTTGCCTCCGAAAAGGTTAAGGCTTTGTTTACAATTCAATTAGGAGAGGGTTATGTTATTCGAGCTAAAGAAGACCTATCTGATTATCTTTCCTTAAGGATTGAGGAAATCAGAAGCAACACCACAGTGTCTGTTCCATTGGTATTCAGACATTCCAACGTGGGTTTGTAAATAGTTTCCTATCTTAGTCATTTCTGAACTAATGTGCCTGTAAAAATAGTTCTTTGCCGAATTTGTCGGTGACTGATGTTTATACATTTTTGCCAATGGAGCTCCAGTTTGTATCTAAGAAAAAGCTACGGGCATTTCAAAGTTAATACTGTCAAATTGAAAATTCCAAGGTGATGTTCCTTTCATGAACTACCATGAAGTAAGTTAGAAAAACATAAATATAGAGGAAGATGCAAAAAAGAAAACTAGATGATTAATTTAGGTTTCGCTCCTTAAACATGCTATTAATTTGTATTTTGCAAATATAACGGCTAATGGGTCTGTTATCTGTCACCTTAAAATTACAAATACTTGCTTGTTGATGGACGGAGAAACTCTTGTTTTTTTCTTTCCGTTTTTGGCTTTAACGACTTTTGTGTGTTGGCGCCGTTCCAACAAAGCTTCATTTGATTTGACGAAGAAGTATAAAGCAGCAACATTAAAAATAGCCGAATATGATTTCATACTTATTAGGTCAAGGTACACTAAAAACACACGCTGGATTTTGTCTCGTCTTATCTTGTAGTACTCGGAGTATATTTCCTCCTTATTTTGGTTTTGGCCTCGAAATCCAACTCTAGTGGTCTAACCTAATAATTGGGCTACTTTCAATTGGAAATAGAAGAATATTTTTCTTGTTGTTACAGAATTAATGGGTAGTGGTTGTCATTTAGGACGATTAAATTTCAATATTTGGACACTTTGAATTCGCTTGCTTCACTACGACAATCGAAGAACTTCACATTCAAAATGTGTTTTATAATTTTTGGAAGGTGCTGGAGGATAATGCTCAAAGCCATATGAATAATCGAACGTTAGTATGGTAGATGGTAAAGTGACAATAGAGCAACAAGACGTAAGAAAATAACATCCAAATTTTAGGGTAAAACATTTATATACGATAAAGCTGAATGGTCGGTAAAAACTTACTCGTATTTGTTGAATTCCAAAGTGTTCAGCTGCAGCCTAATAGAGTACTATCGGCCCAAGAAAGACCAAGGCCTCCATAACTAGGCAGTATGCAGATCTTTTCTATTTAAGTGATTGACCCGACCCAGCTGTATTCCTTATGTATATAATAGAGAATTTTATTTGCACATGTGCAATATTTATTTTTCTGAAAACAGAATACCAATGAAATCTTAGATATTCCCTCTCTATGATTTGCTTCCTAATCATGTTCTTAGAGTTTGGCTTCTGGAAATTGTCACAAAGATTTTCATTTCGCTTGTTAATATGGTATCAGAGCCCGGAGTTCGATAGATCGTTGTGTGGCGATTCTTCCAGTGTTACTGTTGTGGCTTGAATCACAGTTTTTTGATTTTCCCGCAACGATAACGTCGGAATTTTTTCACAGATTTTCTTTTCTTCTCTTCACCCTATTGAGAAGTCTGGTATTGTTCTCTTCCATTCTGCTTCGTAAATAAGTTGACTGATTGCTGTTTTTTTCCACTTTTCAAAACCCTAATTTGACAAAAAAGATGAGTACTACTGGTACTTCTTCAAATGTGACTAGTCCCTCCACAACTTCTGAGTTTGCATCGTCAACTGTAGAGCTGTGCCACCCACTTTATTTGTATTCATCAGATTCTCCTGGTACTGTTATTGTAGCCAATACTTTCAATGGATTAGGATATAGAAACTGGTGTCGAGTTATGCTCGTAGGCCTTTTCTGTAAGAACAAGGTAGGTTTAATCAATGAGACGGTTGCTAAGCCCAGTGCGGATTCGCCTCTATATGAGGATTGGTGTCGGTGCAACGATATGGTTACAACTTGGATTCTAAATAGCCTAAATTTAGAAATTAGAGAAAGCGTGATGTATACTGAATCCGCCCAAAAACTATGGAAGGAGATCGAATAACGTTATGGAAAGCCAAATGGAAGTAAAGTGTTTCAAATACGCAAGGAAATATCTTCAATTTCTCAGGGTTCGTCCAATATAGCGTCCTATTCAGTAATATCGAAAAGCTTTGGGATGAATTGGCTTTCTCCATCACCTAGAGGAAGATCATAAAGTTCACCAATTTTTAATGGGGCTGAATAAGTCTTACTCTAATATTAGAAGGAACATTTTGATGATGAAGCCTCTCCCCATTATTGATAGTGTATATGCAATGCTTATTGAAGATGAAAGTCAAGCTGAGGTCTAGACTTCTGCTCCTTCTTTCAGTTCCGAGTCTGCCTCTTTTTCACTACTGTACAGAAGCCCTACGGTCAATCTCTTCCTTCTACCATTCAGAAACCCTACACTCAGAGAGTTAATTTTGAGACTACTAAGAAACCCAATTCCAATATTATCTGCAAATATTGTAGGAAACCGGGGCATTCAATTGATTGTTGTTACAAGTTACATGGGTACCCTCCTGGTTTTGGGACAAAGTTCAAGCGATCTGCCGCTTATGCTCAAGTCTCTGATTCTCAAATGGTGGGGCATTCTGAGGGTTCTAGTGCAGATGATTCCAAAGTGATCTAGGCTGATATTGGAGGTAGTATGCTGGCTAAGGAGCAGTATGAGCATCTCCTTTCTCTTATTCAGCAGACAAAAGTGTCATCTGCCCCTCAAGAATTGGTTTCAAGGTCTGCAAATTTTGTAGGTATATTGAATTCTACTGATTTTCATTCTGATGGGTTTTTTGCTTGCAATGTATCTAGGATAAAGAGTAGTATTTGGATTATGGACTCGGGTGCTACAAATCACATGACATCACACAAATCACTATTTCAAAATATTAAATCTTTATTTTTTCCTTATCTTTTAACCCTTCCTAAGGTTAAGATAACCTGTACTGGTACCCTTTTCCTCTCTTCTAATATATCTCTTTCAAATGTTCTGTTTGTACCTTCATTTCATTATAATTTGATCTCTCTTTCTCATTGTTGCTTCATCTCAATAGTTATGCCTTATTCCATCCTTTTGCTTGCATCTTGTTGCAGGGACCTTTTCTAAAGAATCCAGTGGTTCTTGGTAGACTTCAGAAGGGGTTATACCTCTTGCATTCTAATAATCTTTCACCTATTGATTCCAGTGATTCTTCACTTGTAAATACCATAACTGCCATCATTAATGATTCTAATAAGAGTAGTTTTCACTCTAATTCTGCAAATTTCTTAATTGATGTGTCTGACAATGTTTTACCTTCTGCTTTATCTTTTAATTGTGCATGTCATTTAAGATTAGGTCATATGCCTTTTGCTTAAATGAAATCAGTTCCTTTCCTATCTGATAAGCTACCTAAAAAAAAAAACCTTTATTTGCCCAATATATCCCATAGCAAGGCAGCAAAGGCTACCTTTTCTTGAGAGCATCATTCAATATTCCACTCTATTTCAACTAGTGCATGTTGATCTTTGGGGACCACACCATACCCGTACCTATAATAGATTTAAATACTTTATTACTTTTGTAGATGACAATACCAGGGCAACCTGGACCCACCGTTTATCCTTTAAGGCAAATGCTTTCACTATACTAAAATTTTTTATACATATGGTTCAGACTAGGGGTGGGCATAATACCGGCCGAAACGAAAAAATTGGCCAAACCGTGAATTTCGGTTTCGGTTTAGTCGGTTATTCGGTCGGTGTGCGATTTTTAAATTATTAAATTTTGGTTTTTCGGTGTAGAAAAAGCTTTTCTTTGCAATTTTGTTTAGCTATAACTTCTAGTTAGAGGCTGACCTAAAGATCAGTAGTCTACATCGGATATAAAATCTTGAACCGTTAATAACTGAAAAACTAAATCGGAAATAACCGAGCTGAACCTTAAAAATCGCACCGAACCGTAAATACTTTAGTTTGATTTGGTTATTAATATTATAAAACCGAAAACCGATAAATTGAATCGTACTTTCATAATAACCGACCGAACTGAACGACGCCCACCCCTAGTTCAGACTCAATTTGGCTGCCCTGTTAAAAATATTAGATCTGATAATGCCTTTGAGTTGGGCAATGGTTGTGCAACAATTTCATTTTTTCTCATTGGATATTACACCAACTTCTTATTCACACACGCCTCAACAACATGGTGTAGTGGAGAGGAAACACAAACACTTATTAGAAACCGCCTGAGCTCTTCTTTTTCAGTCCAAATTGCCAGTCAAATATTGGGGTGAATGTATCTTAACTCCACTTACTTGATAAATAGGTTCTCTTCCCCTTTGTTGAATAACAGATCCCCTTTTGAGCTCTTGCATGGTGTTTCTCCTTCTGTCAATCACTTGAAAACATTTGGATGCTTAGCCTTTGCTGCTGTGCCAAAACCTTTCAGAGATAAGTTTAAATCTAGGATTGCAATGATCCGACCGGTCGTTTTGAGCTCTAGCGCATCATTTGGCGGTTTGAGTCCATGAACAGCTTCACTTCAAGTATTATGACTTGTACGCATGGTCGAAATTGAATTTCAGGAAGTTCGGGGTTGATTTGGAAAGAAAATTCTCATTTAGAAAGCTTTAAGTTGGAAGAATTGATTAAGGTTGGATTTTTGAGTAAAAGACCTCGGAATTGGGATTTGAAGGTTTCATCAGGTTTGTACGATGATTTCAAACTTGGGCGTATGTTCAGATCAGGTTTTGGATGACCCGGGAGCGTTTCGGCGCCTATAGTGGAAGTTCGCATTTTGGAAGAATTTCATGAATTTGAGGTGGAGATGTATTTTTATGTTATCGATGTCCGTTTGGGGTTCCGAGTTTGAGAATAGCTCCATATGGTAATTCTGGT